AAATTAAATTTAAAATTTTCAATAATAGTAGTTTAATCTCCAATAATTATTAAAATTTTTCTGTTAAATAGCAAAACAAAATACATTTATACATAATCATTGAAAATACATTTATCACAAAAAATAATAAATAATTACTGAAATGCAATAAATATTAATTTTAGTATATATAATTATATAATAAATATAGATTAAAAGCTTCAAATTATTATAAATAAATATTACTTTTGAAAGTTATTTTCTCGAATTATTACTTAATATAATTGAAATTAGTTATTTATAATGTTATGTAAAAATATTAAATTATTATTAATTTCAATATTATGTTATAATTATTTTTCTAATTTTCAGGATATTTTTTTTAAATTATTACATAATTTCTTTATTTTAACTATTTAAAATCTAGTTATGTTAAATATTTTGTTATTTAAAATATTTATTTATTTAAATACATAAATAATATGTAAATTATTTAAACTTTAAAATATTAATTATTTATTGAATTTAGTTATCCATAATCATAATTTATAATATTATTACATAATTTCATTATTAATTTTGTAATATATTAAATTATTATTAATTTCAATATTATGTTATAAAAATTTTTCAACTTTGAAGAATTTCTTTTAAATTTATTAAATAAATTTGTTATTTTAAATATTTAAAATCTACTTATGATAAATATTTAGTTATTTAAATATTTAAATAATCTATAAAATATTTAAAATCTTTTGTTATTTKAATTTTATTTATTTAAAGCTATTACATATTATTAAATATTTAAAAAACATTTAAATTGATAGTCTAGAAAAACATAATTTAAATTGTTAACACATAATTTAGTGATATATTTTGTAAAAATATAAAATTATTTTTATTATGTTTTTAATTAATATTTTAAAGTTATTGTATAATTTTGTTAGAATATTTAAATAATTTTTTATTTTTTTAATCTAAACTTTCTTTAGATAGATATAGATAAAAAGTAGGGGAGAGGATAAATAGAAATTACAGATAATTTAGGAGATAAATCTCTACTAAATTAGATATAACTTTGTAGATAAATAGGAATTAGAGATAATTCTAGAGAAAGTAGGGGATAGTGGGGGAGGTAATTTAGTAGAAATTTTTGGAGAAGAGATTATTTAGGTTATTTGGAAAGTGCATCTCATTGGTTGTCTTGAAAATGACATGGAAAGTGCATCTCATAGTTTGTGTGAGGTTGTGATGGGTTGGGAGTTGGGATGAGAGTAGGAGAGGCCGAGTGTAAGCTCGTAGTGGACGCCGATGTTTGGGTTCTCATTGGGAATTTCTCTAGTCAACAGAGAAGGGTAAGTATCACTAATTCCTCACGAGTCTTGACTATATGCATGTCCAGAAAACAGATTTGAAGCCAATGGTTCCATACTTCCATTTCTTCGTGAGAAAGACGAAGTGATGAGAGGGAGAGAGAGTGATGGGCAAAATAGTATTTTTAATTCTTCCGTAAATGGACATTGATGGTAAGAAAGATTTAGTCAATTGTAAGGTACTTTAAGACAACACTAGAACAATAGGGGCATAGTTAATCAGTTTCCTAAACATTATTTTATAAATTTATTTAATAACATGAACACGAGAGAGAGAGATGCATTAAAGAGGGAGGGTATAGATCATAACTGATGAATCAATTTTTGGCTAAGTATCTCGCCATTTGGTCTGCTTCCAAGTGACCGATGATTCAGAGGCCGAAGTGGAGAACTTTTGCTGGATGAGGACCTGGATGCCGAGTTGACCAGGCCGAGCTAGGGGCAGATTAGGTGCCGAGCTGGGCAGGTTAGGTGCCGAACTGACTGGGCTGAGCTGGGTAGGTTAGGTGCCGAACTGACTGGGCCGAGCTGGGCAGGTTAGGTGCCGAACTAATTGGGTCGAGCTGGGCAGGTTAGGTGCCGAGCTAACCAGACCACCGAGCTGGATTGATTGTTGAGCTTCGTAATTCTTTAGAGACCTGCAAGGAATCAATGTCAGAGGATCTGGGGTGGCTAACCGACGAGGTCGCTCCGATGATTAAGTCAGTACTCTCATAGTAGACTGCGAACTAAAAATCACAAAAGTATGAGAGCTAGAATATGCTTACTTGCCCCCTCCATGTCATTGGGGTTGGTGCCTTTATATAGGCATTGTTTGGTGTGGGCTTCACGCACCATATCCGAGATTTCCAAGAGGTCGCCTAAGTGGTCCGAGATTCCCGGAGGCAACCGCCATGCACGTTGACCTGTTCGTGGGTCGGGCCGGGCCGGGCTCGGGTTGGGCTTTTACTCTCCATTAATAGAAATATGTTAGGCCCGAGCCCGAGCCCGGCCCGACCTAATAAAAAAAATTAGAAAATTTCCCTATTCAATAATCAATATAAATCGGAATTTATTTACATTAAAAAAATATATAAATCCAAAATTTATTTATATTAAAAAAATAATATAAAGAAGGGAAAGAGGATGTGGAGAAGAAGAATTCGATTGGAAAAAGAAGGGAAGGAGGTGAAAAAAAGAGGGGTATTCAACTAGGGTTTTTAGGTTTAGTTATAGGCCGGGCCGGGCTATTTTGGCAAATCCTGAGCCTAGCTCGAATTTATTGCGGGTCGGGCTTTTTGGCCTGAGGTTAAGCCCGCGGGCCTATATACCTGTTCAAGCCCGTCCGGGGGTCGGGCCGGCCCGTCGAGCCACCCAGCCCATGAATAGGTCTACTTCCAAGGATCGTGGGAGTGTTGGGATATGCATGCCAAATTTGTTGGCGAGCCCGTCTCGTAGGTCGTCAGGTCGACGCCTGTGCCAGGTCGCCAAGTCGGCGCCTGTGCCAAGTCGCCAAGTCGGCGCCTGTGCCAGGTTGCCAGCTGGGACACCATCATCTTAGCTAAGACAAGTTGTTGCCTAAGTGGTTCCGGATGTCACCTAGTTGTTCCGAGATGCCACGTGTCATAATGTCATTGGAGGGCCAAATCCACCCTCATCAATAACCTTGCATCATTGAATAAACACCAGGTCTCAAGAAAGGTCTTTGAATCTATAAAAGAAAGGGGCCCGGATGTAGTAGGCAGGTTAGATAAGTAGAATGAGTGAGCACGTAATAGCTGTGTAACAGGTAATGCACCTTTCATCCAAACATTTTTGCTCCATTAGATAGAAATTATCCATTATTTTATATCTTTGTCAAAATAATTAAAAATAAAAACAATATAAAAGGAAAACCTAAACGTGTTGGTTTAGGTCGTGAAGTCCTCATCACTACCAAAGAAGAGATGAGCGAAGGATCCACTGGATTAGTTGGCCAAAGCTTTGTCTTGTAAAGGCAGTTGGTGGGATGGGTTTCGGAGACCTGAGAGCTTTCAACTGGGCACTTTTGGGCAAGCTTGCCTGTAGATTAATCCATAGTAAAAACGCACTATGGAGACGGCTGCTTGCAGCCTTATACCATCTAAATAGGCCTTTGATTGAAGTGGGTAACCAAACTAATTCCTCTTGGTTATGGCAAAGTCTAATATATGGGTTGTCTTTTTCTCAAGAAAGGCCTTATTTAGAGAATCGGTACAGGTGCGGATGTGAATATTTGGGAGGATCCTTGCCTTGGCTCCCTCACTCAATCGAGTTTAAAATACACTCCCCACGGCCCCCGGACTGCCAGTACACTAAGGTTCAAGATCTCATGCTTCAAAATCCTCGTCGCTGGAACCTAATAGTTCTCACAAGACTATTCAACCAAGAAGATGTTAAAGGCATTATGTCTATTCCACTGGGCTCAATTGATGAAGAGGACTCTCTAATTTGGCATTTCTCAGGTGATGGGAAATGCACTGTAAAAGCTGGCTACAAAGTAGCTTATCGATATCTATTGGAAGGTTCAAATCCTAGGCTTGCTCCACAGGCCCCATGGAAGAAGATTTGGAAGCTTCGGATCCCGCTCAAAATTAGAAACTTCATCTGGAGAGTCTGCTGGCAAGCAATTGGAGTCAACTCCGCTCTGTTTCAAATGAAATTGAACATAAGCCCGGAATGTCAGAGGTGTGGAGAAACCGAGGATGCCCAACACCTCCTTCTCTACTGCCCCTATGCGCGAGCTGTGTGGATCCACTCCCTGCTAGCATTAAGATCTGATCAGATTAATAGTAACCACATTTCGGAGTGGATAACTACTTGGTTTGACAGTAGAAGCTACCTAGAAGGAGATTTTGCAGACTGGGCAGCCCTCCAATCAATTATATGTTGGCAAGAAATGATTACTGTTTCAAAGGAATATATAGAAGCCTAGTGGTAGTGGTTCAGAAAAGTTTAGCCATGTGGGGTGAGCTCTGTCCCCAGGTTGCAGCCTCTCAACCTACAGATCCACAAGTGAACCACGTTACAGACTGTGGCTGGAAGCCCCTCCTTCAAATTGGATTAAGATAAATTGTAATGCAAGTTTTGATAATACCTCGGGTTGGGCTGGTTTAGTTTGTGTTGTTAGAAGTAACACTGGTTAGTGTTGAGTGCTAAAGGGGAAAGAGTAAGATGCCAGTCAAATCTAGATGCAGAAGCCAGAGCAATAAGACTTGGCTGCCACGAAACTCTTAAGTGCTGGAGTTTCGTCAAGAACATCTGGTCAGACTCACTGTCGGCAATCCATTATATTTTAAACAAGCAAAATCCGGAGTTCTCTCCCCTCAAGAACATCTGGTCAGATATCAGTAGCCTTGCAGGGCATTTCTCCACTCTGAATTTTCAGCACTGTGCGGCTATTTTGCCTGAAAATTACTTTATGGTGACCAGCCATTTCTCATTGTGGTTCGGCCCATTTGAACATCTCTGTTTTGAAAATCTATATCGTTCTTGATCCTTTCTGTAGGTGCAAATAAAGTTTTCTCTTTTTACCAAAAAAAAAAAAAAAACTCCCGCCATGGCTGCTCACGGTAGGATCTCAATCAAATGCCATTTTTTTTCTTTTTCCCGAAGCTCAAGCGGAATCTATTCGATAATGTTTCCATTCGTTGAAATTGGTTATCTTGTGAAATTTCGTATTGGGTGAGCGTGAGGTATAAATGAATTACTGAACTGCTCCGTGGACTCAGACTGTTGAAACTATGATGCTTGATTCCGCAACCGCCGATTCCGACTGTCGAACCCTTGTTCTATATTTATGAGATGACGACAGCGTTTTGCAAAAATTATTGGTTGAACCGTTTGATCCGGACGTTGAACCGTTGATCCGTGATCCGGAGGAAAAAAAACAGTTCCGTTTCCGAATTCCGAGTCGTTTTTAAAACATCAATGAAAAGTTAGAAATTTCCAACGCCTTTTTTCAGTTCTGACCGTTTTTAGATACGAGTCGTCGACTCCATGTAAACCCTGCTCTGTTTTTCTTCGATGACCGGAAAAAGTGAAAAAATGCGCGAGAGATATCAATTAGCGATGTTTTAGTGTTTCGAGCTCATATTCGATCACTTTCATGGCGAAATCCGAGAGTTCGAAGCTCAATTCGGGAACCCTAACTCCGTTCATGCATAATTCGGCGAACGACCAGGATATTGATCCGCACTCATGTTCTCTCGAGAAATTTAAACTCTACGAAACCCGTCAAGTAATGATTTTTGAATTTCATCATTTTTTTGCTTATTTCTACTGCGTGCTTATGTTTTTTTTGGAAATTCTGGTGATGTGGTTTTTGGTTTGAGCAGAGGTTTTATCTCATTGGGAGCGACCGGAACAAACGATTCTTCCGGGTTTTGAAGATAGACAGATGTGAGCCTTCAGAACTCAATATCAGTGAGGATCCGGTTGTCTACTCACAGCAGGAAGTTAAAAGCTTGCTCCAACGCATCAGCGAAGGCAACCGTGCCACTGGAGGCCTCACATTTGTTGCCAAGGTCTTTGGGATTGCAGGTGATACTTTATTTTTTCCTAACGCCTCACGCTCTTGTGAAAATATAATTTTTGTTATTGCCATCTGAACATATTATTTTTTTTCCTTTTCTCCTCTATTTTAGGTTGCATTAAATTCTTGGAATCGTATTATCTGATTCTTGTCACAAAGCGTCGGCAAATTGGCAGTGTATGTGGGCACGCAATTTATAGCATAGATGAGAGCCAGTTAATTACTATTCCTCATGTATCAATCCAGACTGATTTAGCACATTCCAAAACTGAGCTAAGGTATTCCACCATTTCTTGGTCCAACTATTTTTGTTGTTGTCATTATTTTTATTACTGCTTTACGTGCTTATAGTTTCTCATTCTATTTTGAGGTTTGGGGATCCACTAATAATGCGCCTTTATATAAAAAAGAGGAACTCCGACTGGGGCTGGATCTGCTCTGGACAGCTTGTTATACACAATGCTCTCTACATGCAATCTAATCTGGACATATGCCAATGCTCATGTGTTAGCCTGTGAACAGAAGTAGAGGGCTTGGTTAATTAATTCTTTTAATTTCATAATCCCTGAGAAAAAGTTATGGGGAAACCTTAATAGACTGAAAAAAGGTTACACCAAACTCTTCATTAATTCAAGCTTTATTAGAGAATGTCTCTTGAAAATGTTAAGAAAAAGTGACAAAGATGGACAGATCATCAAAGAAAAAAAGTTCTCCCTTGAAGAGGTCATGGGAGATGGTACTACAACAATCATGAGTAACATTTTTAGAGGAGATTTAGCCAAAAAAAAAAAGAAAAAATTGTAGAAGAGAATGCAGAAGAAAGAAAACATGAAAAATAGAAGTTAATGGTTGGAGTGATGGGCAAATTTTTGTTTTTCATAACAAAATAAAATTTATTAAATAAAAAAGAAGATACGAAGAAATGTTATAAGAAATCACCCAAAAGAAAGACAACCAAAATTAAAACAGCCAACACAAATAACTCAATGGCTAATAAAAACCACCTACAGAAAGGACATAGCAAGACCCACTCCAACATCACACACAACCTCAATCCAGATCTAAAAACCCAACGGGATAAAGCTCCAAATCCAAGAAATTGTTTCATTTCCATGGCACCATCTGACTCAGGAAGCAAATAATAAGCATCTATCTACATTATCCACATGATTCTTCATCTCCAGCTCCCTGAACATCCTGCCATTGTGTTCATTTATTGTTTCCTATAATGACTTGATACTATTACCAGATTCATCACCTGAGCTTTAGATGCTTGAATCATGATGCTGGGTTCCTTTGTGAAGTAGCTGGCTTTGTCCCCCCCAATAGTAATTAAACCAAAATAAAAAAAACCAAAATTGGATCCATTGCATTAAGTGAAGTGTGTGCTCATGATGAACTGCTATGATGGGGAATAACTCTTCACTGCATGTTTGGTTATGTCCTGCTGAAATTGACAGACATGACTGCATAGTAAAACATTTTAGTCATTAGGTTTATATTAGTTTGCAATTCATGCTTATCTCCATCTTATTTTGTCTATGCTGTTGCCATAGCTGTCTGCAGCCAGAGTGGGCAGTGAAGGGAGGGGGTGATCGGAGAGAGAGAAATTACATTTGATTAGGTATTTATTCTTTTTCTGTTCAAATTTCCAAAATTAGAAATTAGTTTAGAGGAGGCTTAATGCCTCTACTCATGTTTGCACAATCCCTGCCACCACAGGAGTTGCAGAAGTCCAGAATCATGATCTGTTTGTATGTACAGATTTGAACCCCTCTAAATGTTTGCCTTATTTTTTTGATAGCAAAACAAAATTTTGTTCACGGGAACAAAAATGAGTACAACTGAATTAAGCAGTCAGGTAACACCTTGTTACAACTTAGTTATAAATACTCAAAGGTACAATAATTGGATTTTCAATAGTTTCGCAAAACCTATATCCAAACCCTGTTCTGCTTGTTTGAGAAAAATATGGTCAAACCAGCCATAACCACTTTTCCTATATCAGTCATGATTCTTTCAATCCTCCTAGGTTTGTTTGTTTGTTTGTTTTGGATCAGCAATCCTCCTATGTATGTTTTGACACAATCTCCCACTTCTCTCCTTCCATATTCCCCAACATATTGCAAAAGGGATACAACTCCAACTGATTTTGGTTTCCTTGTATCCTTGGCAACTTGGGAAAAATCGATCATTGGGTCGGATGTACTGCATTTTCAAAAGAGATAATAGAAATGCCATATGAAGTCAATCACTTTACACGGCATGAATAGATGTTCCGGATTCTCTTCTTCTTAAAGACACATTTAACATCCAGTTGCTGTGCTCAATCCTTTACTACTTAAATGATCTTCTATCAATATGTTGTCCTTGGCGACTAACCATGTGAATGCATCTACCTTTGGGGGATTAGCATTGCCCCATATTCCTTTAATGGATGAAGTTTCCATCTGATTCCTTGCAATTCCATCTTAATAAGATTTGACTAAGAACCTCCTATTCTTACATTCCTTCCACCACAATTCATTTCTCTCTGTGGTAGAGACCTTCACCTCCTCTAGTTTACTCAACAATATGAGACATCTTCCATTTCCCTATTGAGTAAAGGTCTCCTAAGCTTCAGACACCATACTAACTGCTTTCCTCTCAGCTTATTGTATTGATTGATCTCAATATTATGTGTACTCAGCCTATATAGACTTGGGACAAAGATCAAATAGCTTCCTCACTCCACAGAAATCATCTTCCCAGTTCTGATTCTAGAACCATCACCCAACATAAAACCTTGTTAAACTCTTGAAACATTGATGAAATGACATAATGCCCCTCCGTAGATATGCTCCATATGAAGATGACACCTCCCTAAGGTCCCACTCAAATCTAACCACTCCATATCTAAATTTCTTTCCACTCCCCTCTCCATCCTAAAGGAAAAATCTCTTTGGAGTTTCTCCATCCTATCTGCCATTGAAGCTGGAAATTTTAAGAGGATAAATAATATATGGGCAGATTAGACAAAACATTTTTAATTAATGTAATTCTTCTCACAAAGGACAAGTATCTTCCCTTCCAGCCTGCCAACCTTTTATCAATTCTCTCCATTTTTTTGTTAATAAAATAGAATTTATTAAAATAAAAGAAATACATACAAGGAAGGTGACCAGTGGTCACCCAAGAGAAAGAAAAACACAAACTTGAAATCCACCCCCTCAACATCATAAGTCACATTACTCACCCAACCAAACAAGCGGTTAAATGCCAATGCCACCTTCCCCACCAAAGAAGAACAGAACCGAACCAACAAACAAAAACACAAGAACAAAGACATGCCCCACCATCCAACTAGACAGTAATAACAATCAATTAAAAACCACCCACCCAAGTAGATGTTGCTGATGCCTTAGTCCCAAACTCCCAATTGGCAGCCCCAAATAGGTGAAAGGGAATTCCCCAACTCTGCAATAAAGAGAGACAACATAATCTTTCAGCAAATCATCCTCCAACTCCCACTCCTATTGTTACACTTTTCTTTATGTTGACCATTAATTCTGTTAACAGCTCAAAACTATTCAAAATAGCCCTCAAATTCAGAACCTGTTCAACCACATCAAGGAAAATGAGAGTGCTGTCTGCATATTGAAGATGAGATTTCAATGGCCACAATGATTTAAAAGGCGTGCCTAGGCGCACAGGCGAGGCGCATTTTAGGGTATGTGCCTCACCCAGGTCCTAGACGCACCCCTTTCAAAAGGTGCACCTTGTTCGCTCACTCACTGAAGCTCTGAGAACCCCCTATTTGCTAATTTTGTTCATTTATTCATTCCAATAAAATATCTTCTTAAAAGGCAATTAAAGTTATAAAATATTATTTTTTATGTGAGAAATGAGAATTTAAGACCCTAACATGGACTTGTTTGGGCTTGCCTCGAGGGACATGGTACAAAGGCGACTCATAGAATCAAGAATGCAATACGTTTTACATCACATTAGCTACTTGAAGCAATGCAATTGAGGAAAAAAGAGATTGTGGGTTTTACATGCTTGAAAATGCTTTATATGTTTGCTTTTATTTTTAAATTTTCATTTGAATACACTTTACATGTTATGTTTATGTATTTTAATTTTAGATAATAGGTTTTTTAAGCAAACATTTATTTTAAAATTTAACTTTATATTTTTTATTAACATCATGTTTAATATTTTTGATTTTTTGCATTTTCTAAAAATTTTGGCATTTTTTGAATTTTTTGACATTTTTTTTTGTAATTTTGCGCCTTGCTTCAAAAAGGCTCGCGCCTCACCTTGCGCCTTAGGCGCAAATTGGCCCTTGTGCTTTTAAAACACTGAATGGCCATTTGAACCCACCTTAAAGCCACAAATCAATTGAAGCAACTCAGGTAGAAGAAGAGATGAGAAGACTGAAGAGAGGTTTCAGGAATATGGGTGGCAGCATAGCTTCTGTCTAGACCTAATTGATATTTAAATGAGAGTTTAGAATGTTATAGAACTATAGAAGTACAATAATGTTAACTTTCTGAATAAAGTTAACTTTTTTCTCAAAAAAAAATAGAAGTACAATAATGCACCTCATAGGCGGGTAGAACATAAAAGATTTAAAACATATAATGGCCCAGGTCCATTTAGATTCAATACGACAATTCCTCTCAAGTTGAGCATGGATATCTATCATGCTCAGCTTGCCCAGCAACTGAGGGAATCTTGTCTTAGGTGATCTTTTGGTGAAGACATTGGCTAGCTACTTTCCAAAAGGCAAGTTGGGGATGCATAAATCTGCTGAGATGATTCTTTCCTGAACAAAGTGTCTATCTTGTACATCATCTCATTTTCTTTTTTTGATTTCAATACAATCAGTTAACCTTTCTCTCTCAAAAAAGTTTCTATCAATGTCAATGTGTTTGGTCCTATCATACTGAACAGGATTATTTGCTATGTTATAGTAACTTGATTGTCACAGTAAAGCTTTGAGGGACTATCAACATGAATTTCCAATTCCTTTAACAGAATTCAATCCACAACAATTCAGCCACACAATGAGCCATTGCTCTATACTTTGCTTCAGCACTAGATTTAGCCACGACTGTTTGTTTCTACTCTTCTAGGTGAACAAATTTCCACCAATAAATGTGCAATATCTAGCTGTAGTCCTTTTGTCCCTTGCAGACCCTGCCTAGTCAGCATCAAAATGTGCTCTAACTGCTAACTTGTCATGTTTATTAAACAATAAACCCTTTCCTAGACATGTCTTGAGACAGCTTGGATTCCTTTCAAGTTTCAACAACTTCCATGTGAGAAATTTTGGGAGCATGCATAAACAGGCATACAATATGCACACTGTAAGGCAATGGATGATATATGGTCTGTAGGGTTTTGGAAACTGAAGGTGGGAATGGTAAATTCCGCCCTGCTAAAGTAGAGAGAGGAAGCAGGTCTCTTTTCTGTCTGAACAAATGTCCCTGATTATTAATGAAGTATGTCTTTATTATCTTTACTTATTTGCCTGCTCCTTACATAGTACCTGTTTTATCAATGTAACTTAAGTAAGGGTAGATGAGGCACTTCACTTATATATTTTTTTGATAAGTAAAAAAGAAAAACGATTACAGCCAATGACAGTGTTGAGAGAACACCTCCAACGGAACAGAAAACCAACAAGCTTCCTAAACCCAAGCAAAATCCCTAGATGACTAACACCCCAAACAACCCGAGATAAAACAAGAAAAAACCAACAGACAGAACAGAAAACGAACAAGCTTCCTAAACCCAAGAAAAATCCCTAGACAATTAACACCCCAAACAACCCGAGTTAAAACAACAAAAAACCAATAATAAATGCCGAAAGAAACAGCAAGAACCCGGGAACCAACAAATAGCATCCACGGACCTCCAAACCTCACCCTCTTGCTTGCATCGAAAACCATATCTTCCATCACTCTTCATCAACGATATCTGTCTCCGTTCCTTCATTTTCCTCCCAAATACCATCCCCTTCCCCAGCTGCTCTTCCCTTGTTATTTTCCTGTCTTATATTTTGTTCAAATTGTTCTATTGCCTTCTCACCACCACCTCTCCTCCCCAAAAGAAAAAGGCCAAGATATTTCCCAACTGCCACCTGTCTATCTACCAATTTATCAATATCGGCTCTTCCCTTTTCATATCGTTAACACCCTTGGAGTTGGCTTTCTTCCCTCCTATCTCTCTCTCCCCCTCTCTGCTCTCCTCTCCAATCACTTCCTTGGCACTTCCTTTTCTCTCATCCTTTCCCCCACTGTCAATAGGCTTCTCCTTCATTATCTCCTTCCCTTCCTCCAAACTTCTCCCAGAAGACTCTGTCCTATTCCTTTCCTCCCTCTCCCTTGTGAATGCTCCCTCATCTTGATTAACTGACTTGATACCCTGAGGCTTCTTGCCTGCATCAATTTCTATACAAATTGCGTCAATGCTATTTGCCTGATATTTCTGAAGTCTTGTAGTAGCCTTTGATCCGTTCCTTTTGTAGATTCTCTTAAATCTACAACAAGGACCATCCCTGATCAACCCTACCTTGAGAAGATGAAAAACCTTGGTTACATGAACAATCTGCCTGCTACTGGAACCTCTCGATTTTTTCCAAGCTGCTTTGTGTTTCTCAGAGTTAGTCAACTTCTGATCAGTTTCGACTCTTCTCCTGCCTAAGTCCATCCCCAGCTTTCCTATCAAAATTGTAGACCACAATCCTTCTTCTTTGTCCTCCCTCTTAGAGTTCTTGACATTTGTCACTTCCCCCGCTTCCTGTGTCCTTTCCTTGCTATCAAAGCTGCATGAGAAAACCTTGCTCTTTGATGGAATTCCTCCCTTATCAGAATTTTCTCCCATTTCAGCTGTTTCCTCCATTCTAACACCCTCCTTAATCCCATCTGAAGATTTGAAAGTTTCTTTCTCAGATTTTTCGACAGAATCCTTGACAGTAGCTCTCTCTTGAATTCCGCCTTCTTCAGAAACCCAAGGAAGAGCATGAATAGCTGTCTCCATTAACCTTGTTTCAACCTCTGGACGATCGTAGACCCTCGATTTTTCTGATCCCACAAATTTCGTAATCACCCACTCCCAAACCTCCTTCTTCCTCTTTCTATGGGTGTTGTAAGTTCTCAAATTATTTTATTTGAAAACTTTTACCTTCTTTGTCCTCAGGTACAGAGCTGTGTTCTTTCTCACCCTTTCTTCTCCCTTGAATGACCATCCCCGAATAGGAGTCCTCTCTTGTCTCCCACTATTCAGGTGAATATCATGAACAGCCTTCGAAGAAGACGAAAATAAATCTGTCTTATGGTCTATAGGACTTAACACACTAAAGAGGGGCAGATATGCAATTCTTCATTCTTTATAAGTTCAATATAAATTAACCTTGGTTGACTGGGAGAGATTATTATTCTATTCTCTCCAGTTGGCAGCTTTTCCCCCTTCGTACAACTGTTTTCATCTCTCTCTCTCTCTCTGCTTATATATCTACATAACCTGCTGGGTCTCTGTTTGCTCACTTGGATTTTTGAAAAGTTCAAAAGTTGCAATCGTGCCATTATTCCTCTCTGCCTAGTTTTCAGGTGGCCAAATATTATCTGTTTTACATAGTTTTGGTGTCAATAGATGGATTATTGAGTTATCTATCCAATGAGACCAATACCTTGTAAGTCTTATGTATTTTAACTGTCATCATCATCATCATCCAAGCTATATCCCAACTATATGGGGTTGGCTACATGAATCCTGTTTTGCCATTCAGTCTGCTACAGGATTTCAGTATTTCTATTCTCTTGGGCTCTCTTGGAGTTTATTTATTTATCTTTTCTGGTTTGTTTAGCTCTAGTAGAACTATTAATGGGTTATTGGTCATGTAATGCTCAAACAAAATAAAAAAAAGAAAGAAAAACAAGGACAGGTTATTTGTTATCTTTTAGGAGTTGGTCCTTATTGGAGTCCCTATGGATTACCTATAGGTTTGTTTTAGTTCTAAACTCTAAAACAATTGGAAATTGTTTTGGGTCAATTTCCCTAGTTGAGTTTGGAGTTTGTAAAGGAAGATCCAAGCCCTTATGTCTATAAATAAATTCATTGTAATTGTAATTAGAAAAGTTGATTTTATAAATAAAAGTTCGGTTTAGTGAATTCTGGTTCTAGCCTGGCTTTTCTATCGTTTTCTTCTTCTTTTTCACTTATTTCTTCTCTAAGTGACTTATGTCTTTGTTTTTTATTTGGGACAATGTCTTTGTTGTCTGCTTTAATTGGAAGAATTTTTTTCTTTCTTTTTCTTTTTTATCAGTTGATGAGTGGAATTTTTTTTCTCTTTTTTCCTTGTCCCTTTTTAATTCTTTAGTGGACAGCAAACTGTCTACTTGTTTGTCAAGCTATATTCTTGATCATTAATAAGTAGCCATCTCCTATACTTGAATATCTGTCTAATTTTGCTGGATATAGTCAAACACATTTCTTTCCTTGTTTGTAGGTATAAGAAGCTCCTGTCCAGTGTGGAATTGACCAAAGACTTTTTCTATAGTTATACATATCCCATAATGCGAAGCCTACAGAAAAATGTCACAGCAGTGGGTGAGGAAAGGATGCCATATGATAACATATTTGTATGGAATGCATTTCTAACACAAGCAATTCGTTCTAGATGTAATAACACTCAATGGACTATTGCACTGGTCCATGGACATTTTAAACAGGTACTCATCTTTTTGCTCCATCTCAGTTCTCCATTATCGGATGAATCCTCTGCTTGTGCATTATCATAGAAAGTATGCAGCATTGGTTTTCAAGTATGAATGGTTTTGGATCTTCTTTCTGGATCAGGAATACTTGTTACATGTTTATTCCTTAATCCAAAATAGCTTTTAGCTGGTTTGGTTATTGCCACAATTAGGTATTTTCATTGCCTATTTCATTCTTGTTATTGTTTATTTTGTAGCCTTTTCTTAATTTTGACTTCGTGAGCAAATGATAATAAGTTGAGGCACTTGGCTTAGGTTGACTCAACCTAGCTTTGTTCTAACACTTGGGGTTCACTACGTGAATCCTTCTACACTGTTTAAACTTAAGTCCAGTTGATATTTTCTGTTAAAGTCATAAATCTCCAAGTCCTTTTGAAGAGGGATTGCAGAAGAACGCAAAAGGAACCCTTAAACTTTTTGGAATTGGCCCATCCTTCTATTCTAGGTTCACTCCTTGATGTGAGTGTCTATGGACTTCTGATTGGACTCATAAAGGAGATCCATCTGACTGGTAAAATGGGCTTTCCAGTTGACCTGTAAAGCAAGTACACCGAGTAGGCCATATGAATAGAGAGACAATGAATATAGCTATCAGTTTAGTGGGATGATGTGGTGGTTTTCATCAAATACCAATAGTTTCAATGCATTGTATGATACTATAACACTGGTAAAATGCATTAGCATATAATGAAAATTTGCTTTTTGTGTTTCATATTCATTGCCTTTTATGAGGCCAACAAGGAGACCCTCTTTCTCCTTTTTTGTGTACCTTGGTTGTAGAAGTGTTGTGGAGGCTAATCTCTAGAGCAGATTCTAGGAATCTAATTAGGGGGTGGAGAGTTGGGAGGGAGAATGTACCACTTACTTGTAGTTTGCAGATGATACAATTCTTTTCTATAAAGGTGGGGATATTGATTGGATTAGGAACTTGAAACTCACTATACAACTTTTTGAGCAAATGTCAAATCTTAAAGTAAATTTCGAGAAAAGTTGTATAGTGGGGGTTAATTTGGGGCAAGGGGAGATACTAGAGTTTGCTGATATTTTGGAGTGTATAGTGTCCAACTGGCCCTTAAGTTACCTTAGCCTGCCTTTGGGAGATAATCCACAAAGAGGGGGCTTTTGGACCCCAGTAGTGGAGAGATTTGAGAAGAGACTTGCCTCATGGAAGAAAAATTATCTTTCTCTTAGAGGGAGAATTACCCTAATAAGGTTTGCGTTAGCTAACATGCCTGTTTACTTTTTGTTGGTATTTAAGATCCCGATAGGAGTGGCTAGTAAGCTAGAAAAATTAATGAGAGATTTCCTTTGGGAACCATGGGAAGAGAAAAAGGACCACAGGAAGAGGAATTTGGGAACATAAGGAAGAGGAATTTGGCTCTATTAGGGAAATGGTTGTGGGGGTTCTCACTATGAAAAGAAAAGTTGTGGGTTAAGGTAGTGGGAAGTATTCACGGGCTTGTAGAGAATGGATGGGACTTTGGCATTCTGGCAAGGGCTACAAGGGCATCTCCATGGAAAGCAATACAAGCTATTTTGCCTCAGTTTTCTCCCTAGATCAGGTATGACTTGCATTTTGGCCACCTTATCAAATTCCGGGAACAAGTTTGGGTTGGGGGATTCCCCTTTAAAAGAACATTTTCCGACTCTCTTTGCTATCTCTACCTTCAAGAATGAACCAATATCTACCTTCCTTGTACCATCTAACTCTACCTCCGGGTTTGGTTGGAATTTAGGACTGACAAGAGATATCAGGGACACAGAATTGGATAGTACCTTATCCCTTGTTTCAATCCTTAATGGGATTTTCCTGGAGCCATCAAAGGCAGACAATAGAATTTGGACCCTCTCTCCCCCGGGTACCTTTACTTGTGCATCTTTCTTTAGAGCCATAACACAGTTTCTATTGGCTTGTCTTTCCCTGTTAAAGAGGTGTTGTGTAAACCTATTCCTCCAAAGGTGAGAAGTTTCTGTTGGGAGGCTTTTTGAGAAAGAGTTAATACAGGAGATTTGCTTCAAAGAAGAAGACCCAATAGATGTTTGTCTCCTCATTGGTGTGTCTTCTACAAAGCTGCTGGTGAGTCTGGGTTTCACTTACTAATTTCCTATCAATTTGCAAATTCTATTTGGGAATGGTTTACTTCTTTGTTTGGGTGCAGGTGGAACTCTCCAACGAATGTGCAAAGCTTGTTTACCTCCTTTCCTTCTAACCAGCCAACAAAAAGGGCAAAGATAATATGGAGATGTGTTAGGGCTGCAGTGTGTTGGCCTATATGGGAAGAAAGGAACTTAAGGATCCTCTCAGAGAAGGAGAGAACTGTGGAAGCAGTGATAAAAGTGATTCATGTAAGGGTAACTCATTGGCTGAAGACTTTGGACCTATTTGCAGAAATTTCAGTAGATGACCTGCTTAGGAACTGGAAGGAAATTGCAGATTCAGTTTCAGCTAGGAAGGTCTGAAGCTCTTACTGGACCCCCCACCTCTTGGTTTTTTCAAACTGAATTTTGACGGCAGCAGCATGGGCAATCCAGGGCCCTCCGGTATTGGGGGAGTCATGAGGGATGAAAAAGGGAATGCGCTAGCCATGTTTTCTGGGCCAATTGGAATAGGAAACTCTTTGAGAGCTGAGATTTTAGCAGCTCTGGAAGGGATTCAAAGGGCTAAGGATTTGCACATAAACAAGCTGATCATAGAAGGAGACTGAGACTGTAATAAACTAGTTAAAAGAAGACAACTCAAGATTATGGAGCTACAGCAATGAAAAGAGAAAATTTAAATGGTTGACCAAAGACATGGAAGTCCAATGCACATGGATAAAGAGAAGTGCAAACTCTTTCAGTCTTTTGCAGATGGCTTAGCTAGACAAGGGGTGAATAGGTGTTCTGTTTTTTGGGCTCAGCTATAATTGTTTTTATTTTTTGGGTGTCTAGTGACAGTTATGGGGAGTTAAGCTATTTTAGCTCTCTTTCTATGTATTTTCAGTCTTTAATCATTTAATGAAATCTCTGTTATTGATAAAAAAAATCAGTAGAAAACAAAATATTGGTTAAAATTCTGAGATTGCATATTTTTCGTTTTCTTTTTCTTTTTGAGTTTGTAACTGCAGTGTAACATTATACCGTTGCTTGGTGTAATGGTAAAACCTTGGGATGGCAAGTTTGAGAGTATGGATTTGAGTCTGAGAATGACCACTTTGTGAAAAAAGAAAAAAATGCGAAGGGTTAGGTTTATATCGAGTCCACCCCTCCTAATATTGTGCATGGTCTTTTAATTGCAGCATGATTTCAGCACAAGGGGGTTGCCCTGTTTCCATCCAAGCAACAGACATTATTTCTTTTTTGTTTTATGTATTATGATTGTGTATATGCTTATCAAAAATATATTATGATTGCATATATCCTTCTATGGTTAAAGTCCTTTTTATCTTGCTACAGATTTTTTGACTTCACTACTTTTTCAGCTTAACAAATAAGTTATGCTAATTATTTAATTTACAAATATAAATAAATGTTTGAAGAATTTGATTCCAAGTGAAATTGGATCTCTATATGTTTGAAATTATTTACTCATTGTAATTATTGTTACTGATTGTTCGGATTACTATTATTGCTTGATTGCAAGGTGTTGAACATACTCTGAACTAGGTGTAAGATCTTACAACTATTTTAAGGGTCATGAACTTTTTTGTTTATGGCAGGTAAAACTATCAATTTTTGGGAGGGAATTCAGTGTTTCTCTCATTTCTAGACGTTCTCGGCATTTTGCAGGAACGCGGTATGTTGTGGTGCAAGTAACTTTGGGTGGCTGATATGTTACATCTTCTGTTTTAGTCTTTTTCTTGATAGTAAAGATTTAAATTCATTATTCATTAAAAGAAAAGTGAAAGTACAAGAAAAGGTGACAAGTAATCATCAGAGAGATAGTTGTCAAGGTGCTTAGGTGATTCTAAGCGACAGTGGAGTTCCTAGTTGACTGGGTGATAGGATTTTGCAAAAAAAAAAAAAAATTTCAGGTTAGTTCCCTAACTTTATGTTACAAATTATCATGCATATAAATTGAAAAATAGCAATGCTGTTCACTAAATAATTTGAATTTGCTTTCAGATCATAGTATCTAAAAGACAATGACATTTTTAATCAATTAATTTCAAATTTTCAAACATGACTCTATCATAATAAGTATTTTGATTGATTGCATGTTAAAAATTATTAGCTACTAAAGAAGGTTATGATTTTATGCTAATAAAAAACTTTTAAGAGAGTAATGAAAAAGGAAAAAGAATAAGGGGCAAAGCTCTTTTTCTATTTAACATGAAGGAGTATTGAAAAAACCTCTTTATCCTTCTCTTTTTTAATTCCTTTTCTCTTCTTAAAAACATTGGGTCTTTTATGTTTTAATGGTAAAACCCTTAAACAAAGTATAAGCAGTATACATAATATACACATATATCTATATTTATAAAAGAGTATATTATAGGATGTATTAACACACATAATAATAAGATGTGGCCATAGCAATAATATTACAATAAGGTGCTTGTCTTGTGCCTAATGGCTATATAAACCATGGCATTGAGGCAAGGTGTCCCAGCCAAGGGTGCCTAGTTGCCTGGGTGATGCTTAAGCGGACATCTAGTGATGCCTTGACAACTATGTTCGGAGAAGAAAAACAAATCATCCATTCACCCCTTGATAATAGACACCCAATATAATCATTTTATAAATCTCAAATGGCAAAGACAGGAACTGTGACTGAAACATCCACTAAGCATCATCTCTACAACAAATCAACAATTAACCACATTGTAGTTCATCCAATCGAGTACACAGTCACAACCCTGCACTCCTGATCATCTCATATGAAAACACCAACCACCCCTTCTCACAATATTGGTTGCTACAAGAAACTGTTGTTTGGGGATATAGGGACACCATCAAAAAAGTCAAATGGCTTATGAGATGTCAGTTAGCTTTCAGTGGGTTAGTAGATCGGCAAATGCTTTGGCAGATTCTTTAGCTAAACAAGGGGCTTCAAGGGATTCTCTGTTTTTGGCTATTTTGTAACCGTAATCTGAAAAGAGTTGGGTTTGGAACCACCTTTAAGGGGAGGTTACACTTCATGCCTCCTCTTAGGGTGCTTCATGCTTGTACTATTTCTATCTCTATTTAATAAAATACCATTCGTTCATAAAAAATATTGGTTGCTACAAAACCTTCAACTCCACTGTTTAAACTAAAATTATTAATTTTTAAATCTCATCTTCCCCTTCACCACACGCCACTAAACTTTCAGAAATTCTTCTATCCCAACCCACACCACTGAAGACACATTTCTTGGACTCAACAAAAACACTAGTTTGGTAGCTCCTTTCCCTTCTGTCTTCAATTTCTAACAATATTTTCCTTGTGAAATCTTCTCCTAAAAAGAATAGGCCTAACTTTTTGCTTACTAGTAATTCTTTTTCAGTTACCAACTTTATGTCCATTCACTTCTGACAACACCTTTTTTTGATAGTAAATTATAAAAGAAAAGAAACTTTTTAAATAATGAAAACTTCTGAATTACAGTAGATGGAAGGAGTGATGAGGTAGCACACAGACCCCAAGTCTAGTAAAACATTAACAAAAACACAAACTAAAGCTTTTAATTAATATGAGATTCTGAAAATGACTCCTATATAGACCAGAAAGCAGATGTGGAATTGTTACATTGAGCATTTGCAAATTCTGGGTGTACTAAGGGGCCATTTGATATTTTTCCTATGCTATTCATTAGTATAAGTGTCTTGATATTTTTAGTATGCTATTCATTTTCATTTTTCATGAAATACAGCTATTTGAAACGGGGTGTGAATGACCGGGGCAGGGTTGCAAATGATGTTGAGACTGAACAGATAGTCCTTGATGAAGAAGCTGGGTCATGCAAGGGAAAAATGAGTTCTGTAGTTCAAATGCGTGGTTCAATTCCACTTTTCTGGTCTCAAGAAGCTTCTAGATTCAGTCCTAAGCCTGATATAATCTGTATGGTCATCCAGATGATGCCATTTTTTTTTTCATTTTTCAATGCTCATTTTCTTTGTTGTTAGATCTAGCTGGAGCTCATAACTGCTGGATGCTTGTTTTCTTTTTTGGTTCCAGTGCAAAGATATGATCCTACATACCAGGCAACCAAGTTGCATTTTGAAGACCTGGCAAAGAGATATGGAAATCCAATTATTGTACTTAATTTAATTAAGGTATGTTCCTGGATTCGTCTAAAGATGCCCCTAAGTTTTGAGACTGTTGCTTGCACATAGAGAAGTAATGTCTTTCATATCCCCTTCCCCTTCATTTTAGCTCTTCAGTTTTGTGTGTGTATTTCCACTTCATTTCCTACTTGTTTTGGTTATACTGAGTTACTGGACTTAAAAGCATAACCTAATAGTTGTGATACAATTTATCGTCCATCTGTGCTATGCATCTAGTACTAGTTGGATTTTCTCTTATTTGCAAAAAATTCTATATAGAACTATGTTTCCTTCTAAGTATATGTCTCCTCAAGCTAATTGTAATATGACTTTCTGTATTTTTAATCTAGATCAATATGCCATTTATTGATCTAAATAGAACAGAATCGTGAAACAGGATTCGTGTAGCTGACCCCATATAGTTGGAATAAGGCTTAGATTATGATGATGATGATCAATATGCTATTTATTGCATTCTGTAAAGCTCGATGCTACATTTCCTTATGTTTTTGTGTTGTATTGAGTCTATTGATTCTATGACCATACTGTTTGTTTATAATTCTCTTCTAACCATGCACATAACATTAGCCCCCACAAGTTGAAAAAGTGGTATATTTCTTGTCTTTGATGGTTCGAAGCAGCACAATTGTATATGTGCTACATACATCTAGTTGTTGATTTAGGTCTGTGAAGAAGAGAGAGTAGAGAAGAGGTGTAGAATATATTGGGAGCAAAAGAATGCTATATGTGAAAACATTTCAGTGCATCTAGAAATACATATATGCATATTTGTTTTTTTTTCTCCCTACATATAACTTGACGGGACAGATATGGGGTACTGCAACTTTCAAATCTGGTGGTGGGTTTTCTAGGTCGAAGGAAGGTAATTTGGGTGGTTAATAATGAAGAATAAAGATGGAGATGCAAGTCTAATGAAGATCAAGCTGGAAATAGTATTCAAGCAAGGAAGCATGGTAGAAATAAGTTTAGGGAAGAACTCTTGCTGTTATAACCATGGTTCGCAATTTCGATACAGATGGACATTTCACCATGTAGAGTTGGAAATATTTTGGAGATATTTCCCTAATTTCACTAAGATATTTGGAAAATCTAAATAATTAGGAAAGTTTTCTAAAAATGTGGGATTATTTAATAAACTTTCAAGAAATCATTAGAAGAAATATAATTGCACATTTAAGGCTCAAAAAACCACAACAAAAAACTGTATAAATCAAATATGCGAAAATTATGAGAGTGTAATAGGTATCTTTCTCTTTGTCTCCCTTTTGGTCTTTAGCCACCTTCTCTTTCATAAATATGCAAGTTACTTGCCATTTTGACTTTTGTCTTTATTGCTACTATATATTTTGATTAGATTGAGAATGTTCTTTTATATTTATATGCATTTTCCTTTTTCTTTTGAATTATAGTTACTTGGTAAGTAAATCATATCAAAATGGTAAGCCATTATGATGATTTAATGAAATATTGAAAAGTTTTTAATAATATTCTAAAATTTTAAACCTTAAATATGTAGTCTATGAAGAAAGGATTAAAGAGTGGAATAAAGAAGAATTTGGAAGATTGGAGTAGAAAGGAAGAATCGTTGAAAGGAAAGAGGAGCTAGATCAAAAGGAGGCCATAAAAGAATGTAATCAGGAGGATAGAACAGAGAGGTGGAGCCTAAAAGTAGAGCTAGAAAGGATCCTTAGGAAGGAAGAAATCTCTTAGAGACAAAAATCAAGATGTAAATGGCTCTTGGAAGGAGATGGTAATACAATTTTTTTCTTCACTCTTTGGCAAATGGAAGAAGAAGAAAAAATCTAATTATCAGCATTGAGATTGAAGGTCGGGTGATAGACAGGGAGGAGGAAATTGCTAAATGTCTTGTGGATCACTTTAAATCAAATTTTGCCACCGTAGGTGACAGCCACCTAAACTTGGAAGATTTGGATTGGATTAGAGTGCCTGAAACCCAAGCTGCGTTTCTTGAAAGGAATTTCATTGTAGAGGAGGTCCGTGAAGCAGTTTTCTCAATGGAGAGAGATAAAGCTCTAGGTCCTGATGGCTTTTCTATAGCTTTTTATCAAGATTGTTGGCAGATCCTAGAAGCTGACTTGATGGAGGTGTTTTTTGAGTTCCATTGCAATGGGAAAATCTCACTAGGCACGAATGCTACCTTCCTTGCTCTAGTGTCCAAAAGGAGAGAGGCGGAAACCCCAAAGGATTTTTGGCCCATAAAATCATTGCTAAAGTTTTGGCAGGAAGATTGAAATCTATGTTACCTTTGGTAATCTCCCAAAGCCAAGGAGCCTTTGTAGAGGGGAGACAAACAATAGACCAAATCCTTGTGGCAAATGAGCATGTGGCTGAAAAGAAAAAACAAGGAGGGAGAGGCCTAATTTGTAAGCTAGATCTAGAAAAGGCCTATGATATGGTGGATTGGTCCTTATTTCTAATTCTTTTGGAAAAGTTTGGGTTGGGCAAGAGGTTGTGGAATTGGATTAAAGGATGTATTCGCTCAATACACTTCTTGGTTTTGGTAAATGGAGTCGCTAAGGATTTCTTCCTAGCAAAAAGAGGATTAAGGCAGGGAGACCCCATTTCTCCCTTTTTACCTTTGTGGCTGAAGTGCTAAGCAAAATGATTGTTAAGGCTGATCTAAATAATTTGCTTAGAGGATGGAGAGTGGACTTGTTCATTGGTCGGGTAGCCCGATGGCCCGACCCACACCCCGGTCGGGCTTGGTCATGTAATTAGGCCCGCGGGCCTGACCTCGGACCTAACACAGTAAGCCCGACTATGTTTTGGGCTGGGCTCGGGATTTGTCAAAAAAGCCCGACCCGACTCAGCATTATATATTTTATAAAATATATAATATGTATTTTATATATTATATAATATATATAAATAATATAATATTTATTGAAATATATATATTTATAATTTAATATATACATTTTTTATTCTTTTCTTTATAATTTTTCTCTCTCTCTCTCTCTCTCTCTCTATTCAGCCGCTTCAGCAGTAGTAACAGTATGGGCTAAATTTTGGGCTCGGGCCCAAGCCCGGTCTTCGGGCTTTTTATGAGGGCCGGGCTCGGGCCTTAAAAAAATCTGTTAATATAGAGTGAAAGCCTGGCTCGAGCCTGGCCCGATTTGGCCCATGAACAGGTCTAATGGAGAGTTGGTAGGGAGGAGGTTGTTGTCACTCACTTGCAATTTGTAGACGACTTAATCATCTTTTGTGAGGACTGTAGTGAATCCAATGTGAAGAACTTAAAACTTCTAGTTGCTGGTTTCCAAAGTGTATCAATATTGAAAGTGTATTGGGGAAAGAGTTGTGTGGTAGGATTAATATGGGAGAACAAGATATTCAGGAGGTGGCAGATATACTAGGTTGCGAGATTAGGAGTTGGCCCCTAGAGTATCTTGGTATGCCATTGGGGGGTAACCCTAGGTTAGAAGGATTTTGGAAACCTGTAATAGAAAGGTTCACAAAAAAAGTTAGCTTTTTGGAAGAGGAGTTACATTTCTATGGGAGGAAGAATTACTCTGATTAGATCCACCTTAGCCAACTTGTCTACCTACTTCCTTTCCACCTTTAGAATACTAGTTAGGATTGCAAAGAACTTGGAGAAAACTATGAGAGATTTCTTTTGGGAACCGGAGGATGAAAGAAGAGATCATCTTATAAAATGGGAATAGGTATGAAACCCTAAAGAATCAGGAGGACTTGGAATTGGGAATCTAACAAAGAGAAATACAACTCTACTAGGAAAATGGCTTTGGAGATTTTGATTAGAAAGCATTCATGGTATGACAGAAAATGGCTAGGATGCAACTTTGGCAACTCATAATTCTTCAAGATTCCCCTAGAAAGAAATAATAGAGGTATTGCCAACTTTTCTTAGTTTCACTCGGTTTGATGTGGGCAATGGGGAAAAGGTCCTATTTCGGGAAGATCTTTGGGTTGGGGATCTATCACATTACTCTTCTCTTTATCCAATTACAAGGCTGAACCCATTTCAAAATTTGGTTTATCAATGGAACTTGGTATAAATTGGGATTTTGGGTTTAGGAGAGGTTTGAGAGATTCTGAGCTTGATTCCCTTGTCCTCTTACTATCAAAGCTGGAAAATGTTTTCTTGGACCCTAACTCTCTAGATGGAAGAATTTGGTTCTCTTCACCTGATGGCCCTTTGTCTTGTGCTTCATTCTTTAACCTTCTTGTCTTGTCAAAGCCTATGGGGGAAACCTTCTTGGTTAAAGAAATCTGGTGTAAACCTATCCCTCCTAAAGTACAAGCTTTGTATTGGGAAGTGCTCCTTGGGAAGATCAACACCTGTGACTTGCTACAAAAAAGAAGGCCAAACAAATGCCTTTCTCCTCATAAGTGTATCCTTTCTCGTCATGAGTGTATCCTTTTGTGTCATGTATATGGAAATAGGCTTCTTCTCTCATTGGTTGCAAATGGAATACTCCACAGGATGTGGTAGGCCTATTCAATTCCAGTTTCTTAAGTCAACAAAAGAAGAGAGGAAGAGTTATGTGGACAGCAAGAGCAGCACTGATCTGGACTGTATGGGAAGAAAGAAACCATAGAATTTTTAATGAGAAGAGGAAATCAAAGGAGGAACTGTTTGAAGCTGTAACAGTAAGAACAACACATTGGGTAAAAACTTTGGATTTCTTTCGAGAATTCTCAACAAATGACATAATAAGATGGTTTGGAAAGTGTAAGAATGGTTTGGAAACCTCCATCTTTTAATAAACTGAAGCTCAACTTTCTTTGATGGTAGCTCATTGGGTAATCCAGGAAGGGCAGGAACAAGAGGTATTTTTAGAAACCATGAAGGAGTGGTGGTGGCATTATTTTCAGGTCCAATTGGTTTTGGAGGTTCAGTACAAGATAAAGTGATGGTTCTCTTACATGGATTAAGGCTTTCTGTACAAGTTGGAGTAAGGGAATTGGAAGTGGAAGGAGATTCTCAGTTAGTCATATCTTGGTCCAAGAATATCAGATCAGCTCCATGGAAATACAGACATGCTTTTAGGGAGATCGACACCTTGGCAAAGAGATTCAATTCCACTTTTGGGTGGATAAGAAGGTCTGCAAATGGAATGGCAGATGTATTGGCATTATGAACAGCCTTTGATAATTTTTTAATCCACAATCATATACCAGATAGGTGGATCCAAAAGAACTTTCTGGTATAAAATGCAATAAACATTATGAACAGTTGTTGAATTATAAATATAAAAAAATGATAATTTGCTTTCAAGGGAACCTAGTCAAGCATCTCCACTTTAATTGCTTAATCCATGTATGCAGAATATAATAGTTTGAGCCTAATCTGTAATGCCATATTTATTTGGAGCCTGATCAATGATTAAACAATGCAGACTGTTGAGAAAAGGCCTCGAGAGATGATGTTACGTCGTGAATTTGCAAATGCAGTTGGTTATTTAAATCAGATTCTCTCAGAAGAGAATCATCTGAAATTTATACACTGGGATTTTCACAAGTTTGCCAAGAGGTAAGCATGTGCACGGTTTTTCTTGTCATGATACATGGTGATCGTGTTTTTTTTTTTTTTTTCTATTTGCTAATTATCCTGTTTCCTTTTGGTTCTTAAAGCAAGTCTGCCAATGTTTTGGCTGTTTTGGGTGCTGTGGCAAGTGAAGCCCTTGACCTGACGGGTTTCTATTATAGTGGAAAGCCCGTCAATGTTAAATGTAGAGCAACCCAGCTCACAAGAACAAGCACGGCAAGGTATTTAGCTCTTCATTTAATTAATCCACATATGCATAAATGTGTACTAATAATAGGGTTGCAAATTTCTGTCAAACCTGTAGCACAAATTCTTTGATATAAATGACTGACCTTGAATTCCAGCATAATAAGGAAGCTGTAATTTTGATTTACTGGGAACTAAATGTGTTTTACTACAATTTTCTTCCTTCAGCAATATCCTACAGTGCCTGATAAATTGTCAGAATTCATTTAACTATATCAGAATTTCCCAACCTTATTTGATATTCAACCTGATGAAGCTAGCATACTATCCATGGTCCATTTAGGTTTCTCATTTATAAAGTCTCTTGCAGCATGAGTGCAAGTTTACTTAATTTTACATTGATGGCAGCTATTTTCCATGGTTGCCTGTTTATGCTGCATTGATTTATTATATTTTATGTAGTGTGACCAAGTATTCATGTTAGACTTGTTGGTTATCTGGTATGTACTGTCAAGTGGAGGTCGAGGTAGGTTGCCTAGTGGTTTATTGGGTGGATGAGGCTGGGAGAAGTGGTTCCTCGGGAGTTAGTGTGATATCAAGGAAGCTAGTTCCTTGTCTCAAGAGTGACCACTTCATTTTACTGGAAATCAGGACCAGCCAATTCTGTGGCTGACAATCTAGCTAGGGTAGGGGATGGCTGTGGTAAGCTATATTTGAGAATCAGTTATGCTGGTATAGGGCTGAGTTGCTTTGGTATTTTATGGGTCTTTAGTTGTTAATTTTATCAATAGTAGTCTGTTATTAGGGGTGTTTAGGATTTACATTCTTGGGGATTTCTAGTTCCTATTTCCTGAGCTTTTCCTGTTGATGATTAATAAAATTCTGTAACTGCACAAAATATGTGGTGGCTTACAGCTATTTGCTGCATCTGAATGTCATTTTGTCTATTCTTGTTATTCTCAAAGCTTGTTGGGTCCCTTCTTAACCTTCAACTATATACAAATTAGGAGGTAAGAACCAAAAAAGAAATAAAAATTTTTGGCGCTAGACTAGGTTATTATGTTTTTTTAACTGTGCAATGCCATGTTGTCAGGTGACTGGAAATTAAACCGTTTTGATTACATGGTAATGGATTGGATGGGTCGTGGGTTGATCCAGTGATCTGTAACATCATGCCTAAATATATAATTAAGCCACCTAATTTGCATTTTAAATTAAATTAGATAATATTTTATTATGGGGTGATGGGGGCACACTTTGATGTATTTTTTGACCTGGCCCTCTCAACCTCTGGGATGCCAACTTTGTAAATTTCTATTTTTCCTTGTATAAAATTGTTTATTGCTTATCAAAAAAAACCTTAGAAATAATAGCCATATAAATATTACAGAAAACACAAGTGTTTACAAGTTGGTATGCACTTAGTGGTTTGTATATCAACTTCATTTAAATGGATGGCCCAAGCGGATCATTGAGAACTAGACAGTTCATTAAAAATTATCCTGTTTCATTAAGGGTTTTCAAAAACTCAGGAACCAGTTTATTTAAAAATCAGAATTCTGACTGGGTCCCAACTGTCTGGTCTGGTTTCGAGTCTGACAGGTCTGGTGCAACCATAACATCTGAACTGGTTAAAATTAGGGTTGTTCATGGGTTGGTTCGGTTCGGTTTGGTTTTATTTAATTTTGCCAACTGAACCGAAACTTTTGGGTTGGTCTTAAGGCCAACTGGAACCGACCGGTCATATGCAAAAACTGAGTTACATACGTTATTTAAATCGACTTCGGTTTAATCGGTTTGACTTAAACCGAACCGAAATCAACTTTTGCAACTTTTAATGCAGTCATAGCTGTGTAGTCTGAGCTGTCTATAGGCCTATTTATAGACCTGTCGTTACACTTAAACCCTAATCAAATTGTACCGTCTAGAAACCTACCTGTAGACTTAAACATTTAAACCAAAATCAAATTATAACCTCCACTTATAGACATACACGTGGCTGGCTGTAATGTCAAGAGAACCATCCCAAACACAATTCGATATAGTGTAAGGTTTCAAACTTTGCAGCCTTTTTAACTATTTTGTCTTTTTCACTTTTTGTAGGGTAATGATTATAACTTAATAGAGTCTTAGAGATGTCAGTTGAGTGGCTGTTACAAGTCAAATAATAGAGGTAAGGCTTTATGCTTTACAAGTCAAATAATAAAGGAAAGGCTTTATGCCATTGTATGTATGTATGTATGATAGTCGGGTCGGTTTTAATTCATATTTTAAATTCATTACCCGCAACTGAATTGAATAGTCGGATTTTGACATTTTTCTAACCAAGATCGAATGACTTCAAAAACCGACCATCTTGGGTCAAGTCGGCCCGGTTTAATCGGGTTGGTCGGTTTATACAATTGCGTGAACAGCCCTAGTTAAAATCACCAACAGAGCATGAGTACTTGTGCTTTTTCCACGATTAAGATTGCAAAATGCAAATTTTGGGGGTAAATTTCTTATGATTCCTAAAAGGAATTTCATGATATGAAGGTGAGTGCGAAAAATTTGTTTATACAAGTTCAAAATAATGAATAAGAAAAATTGAAACAATAAAAAAAGAAGAAAGTTGAGATTGAACACCTTGTTCAATCAACAGATCAAATGGAAAGCCTTTTGAGTAAGAGTGCAACTCTTGGGTTAGGAAATTGTTTTTTTTTTTTGAGAAAATGTAAAGTACACTTCTATTAATATTGCAAACCAAAGCATGGATAAAATGCAAAATTTGATTGATGGACAGATGTCTTAAAACAGAAGGTTTTAAAATGAGTAGGACTAAAGCAGTATATATGCAATGTAACAAGGCCAATATCCTATTTTGGTCCCAGCTATCTGGGGTCTTGAGAGAGTGGACTAGATACAGATCTAAGCCTCTGCATTTTTTATTCTCATGAAGTGTTCACTCTCATACCCAAATCTGTGGTCTTGCCTGTTGTCTTGTGCCTTTGGTGGTATAAGGTCTTTGTGCTTTTCTTGTGCCTTGCGCTTTTAAAATGTTGTTTTCATCTCTTACAGAGATCCTTCTCTAGGTGACCTCAGAGCAAATTCTGGTGATGTTGCGAGGCTTGGAAGTAGTAATGAGGCACTGAACTCCTTGATTAAAGACAGGGAGTCTGAGATTAATCAACAATCCAAGAAAGATGGTCAAAATGGCATGGCACCATGTTTTCAAAGTGGAGTTTTACGCACCAACTGCATTGACTGCTTGGATCGTACAAATGTAGCTCAGTATGCATATGGCTTAGCAGCTTTAGGCAGACAACTCCATGCTATGGGTTTGACAGATATGCCTAAGGTTGATCCTGATAGTAGCATAGCTGCAGCTCTCATGGATATGTATCAGAGCATGGGTGATGCTCTTGCCCAGCAATATGGAGGCTCTGCAGCTCACAACACTGTATGATCTTTCTGTACATAGATCTGTTGATGGGTTGTTTATTTTGGAATTTGGATTTATTTGTTATATTCATTTTAGTTTCTTGGTACATTGCCTTATTATTACCTGGATACTCTTGATGTCATTGAATATTTGGATGTTGTTATCAGCAACACTGTGACATGATTCTCAGGTTTTCCCAGAGAGGCAAGGCAAATGGAAGGCTACTACCCAGTCTAGGGAGTTTCTTAAATCTATAAAACGATATTACAGCAATGCCTACACGGATGGTGAAAAGCAAGACGCAATAAATCTGTACTTATTCCTTGGTTTTCTTTTAGATTCAAGGAATTTATCCTTATTCCATAGTGATCCTCTTATTTATTTTCTTTGCATGCTCTTCTAAATGCAGACATAAATTTATTTAATCACCATAATTGGACAATAGTTTTCAAAATCACCATCATTAGGCTCTTCAATTTCTTTTTTATAAGGATTGCCAGTTTCAGTTTGTTGGTATTTAGTAAGGATTAAGACTTCTCTTTTTTACACATTTTGCTATCAATTTTTCTTAGGTTAGTTGTTGGTTTTACCAGATTTTTGGGTTATTTTCAACCCCAGGAAGGAAAGCCTGCTCTCTGGGAATTGGATTCTGACTATTATCTCCATGTTTCTGGGATTGGAGATGAACCTGTTTTGGATCAAAGGTATAAGTCAGATAGTTACTTATTCAAAGTTATTTTGATATATAATTCTATATAGACACATTAGGGTTTTCATCTAAAAATTCTTGCTATTCCTTGATTTCTATTGCCTCTGTCTTTTACAGCTCAGAAGCAGATGCTAAACCTGTGAAAGGAACTACTCTTGCACCAATTCCAGCTTGCAGAGAAGACTTCTTGCGGATGAAATTGACATCATTTGATAAGCTAATAGAGAGAACATGTAGCTCAATAAAGAATGTAAGACTTTGCAGTGAACCAGACCAAAAAGTAGGCGGTGGAGCAGGAAACTCTGGCATGGCACCTGATGCAGCGTAATTTCCTAGACAAAGCAATTAATTTCAGTTACCATGCATGTTCTTAATCTGGAAATCTCGTGCACTATTTCTCTTATTATGTTGGAGAGTGCTATTTTATCTTTGAATTACTTAATATAAATCCTGGGAATTGGCTGTTCAATATGGTACAATTGTTGGTCTTCTTTAAATATGGACAAACATCTTAGTGCTAAATTGCTAATTGTCTTTCATATACATGATAACAAATCAATCTTTAGTGGTGAGGTGAAATAGAGCATTATGTTCTAATGCTTGACAACATTTTAGACACCGAAAGAATGCTTTATAATGTTCCTGAAAATTTTATACATCTTATGCAGTGAAATACAACTTAAAAGTCCAAATTGGCTCTTTGGCCAGAGAAAATTTGAAGATAGTGGTTCTGCTACCAAAGTTGCTGGACAAGATATTGCAAATGGTGGATCCCAAGATGGGACAAATGCTAACTGTTTCCGTGACCTAAATTGGTTGTCTCCTATTGGTGAAGACTCTGAGGAGGATGTCTTCCAAAGGTAATTCTTTTGAGCTCTTCCTCATTCTTTACTAGAGAAAGGGATTTTTTTTTTTTTGCATTTGGTTTGAAAGAGGAGAAAAAGGGAATTTGAAACCACAAAACTTCCACCATGGAAAAGAAAGCAGGGTAAATAACAAAAATAACATTTTTACTGAAGAAAGAGATTTTCTTTAGCATTTGGTTGTAGAGAAGATGAGGTAAAAAAGCAAGGAAAATACAAGGAATCATCAAAATTTCTGCATTTTTTTTTTTGCTCATGTGGTCCTATTGAGTGATTGCTTTTGTTGGTGCTGTTGCTTCCAAATGCTATGATTGCTTAGGTGGCATTAAATTGTAGGTCAACTTCAATTGAGAGGATAAATTTAGGGTCCATTTGGTTCGCGGACAGGATTGGAACCAGAACCCCTAGGAATCAAACCGGAATCACCTATTCCTGACAATTGTTTGGTTTATTTGGGAATTGGAATCGAATTCCAATTGTTGCTGTTTGGTTCATTTGGAGTTGGAATCGGAATCAACTGAATTTTCAGTTTTGTATTAGTCTATTTGTTATTTTATTATTAATTTATTAATATTTATGAATAAATAATTATTATTTTATTAGTGCTTTGTTATTATTATTTAATAATTAACATCTTAGTATTTATCATTAATTTATGAATACTTTATTATTATATTTATTATTATTTTGTTAATATTCTATTTTTTGTTTTGTTATTTTAAAATTAATTTATTATTATTTAATAATTAATATGTTAGTATTTTGTTATTACTTTAATTATATTATTTTAATATTTTATTTGTAATTAATTATTATTAATTTATTAATATTTTATGAATATATAATTTTTATTTTATTAGTATTTAATAATTAATATCTTAGTATTTATCATTAATTTGTGAATATTTTATTAATAGATTATTATTTTATTATTACTTAAACAATAATATTATTATTATATTTATTAATAACTTATTATTTTATCATTAATTTATTAGTTTTCTATTATTTTTGTTTTATTATTTTAAAGTTAATTTATTATTATGTAATGATTAATATGTTAGTATTTTATTTTCAATTTAATTATATTATATTAATAATTTTTTGTGCAGCTAAACTTCAGTTGCAGGAACAGGAAAGCGTTGGGTTCGCTTATAGGGGAGGTGGAGACAAGTGGAGTTTCGGAGGAGAAGAATAGGGAAGGCGATAGTGAAGTTGAAGAAAGAGTTTTTGAGGTATCCTTGGAAGGATAGGGTGTAGGAGCAAGGTAATATGGAGATTGAGAAGTTGGTCGAGAAGGATGCCAAGGTTGGAAAATCCTTTCAATAAGCTAGCTGATTTGCATCTCTACTTGGGATAATAAATTATTTTTTCCCTTGTGTTACTAACGACAAGTGATCGACGATGAGAGATCGTTGACGATGAGGAACCGAAGGAGCCACGGGTTGAAGGATAGACAACCTCTCAGAGGCAACTGGAATTGGAAGAAGGGATGGGCAAACGATCACTGTAGTCAAGGTGTTCAAAGTTCCCCTGTTCATGGTGTAGGATAGACGAACTAGAAAAAGAAGAGGGGAACTTATGCAGAAGCTGTCAGCAGTTCTGCTTGGCCGTTGGAGGAAGAAGCGGAGGTTAGAGCTCGCAAGGATGGCCTTTATGTGACCGCCGGAGGTTTAGATAATGGCTGAAGAGTGGATTTTTTGAAGGCATGTCTAGTGGGGATGGAGATCTCTTCCAAATCCTTAGAAGATCTGAAAGTTTGGGCTCTTCAAAAGTGGGATCCTTCGGGAGGGTTGAGATTGCGAAGGTTACCGAATGCAAGGATTCTTTTTATATTCGCATCTGAAGAAGAAGCAAAGAGGATTTGGAAGTCAGGGAGCAGAAACGTAGACGATGAACTCCTACGACTAGTCCCTTGGGATATGGCAGACCTCTGTTGGGATGAAGAGGCAAGGAAAACCTTATGGATGCAAATCTTTGGCTTACCCCTACACCTCTGGAACTCTAAGTTTGTTGAGAAAATAGGAGACATGTGTGGACGGTATGTTGAGACAGGCAACTCACCGCGCGCCAATGATTGACGGGGGTGACGTGGCGCCTTTCCAAAGGATTGGCTTGGGGGAATCCTCTTCGGTCGTGGAGAGGCGGGCACTTGGTGGGCTTGAGTCGAGGGTGTCTCAGTGGGATTTTCAAATTTCAAACAAGGAGGTTTTAGAGGCTTTGATGTCCAGATGCTTCGAGAGATTAAGACAGATGGACTTTGGGAAGGAGATCTTGGGACAAGTGGCATGGTTGACGGTGAGATCTATTGATTTCCAAGATGAGCCTTGCATGGTGGAAGGGGGACACTCACAAGACAGTTGCATGTGCGAACCATTGGGTATTATCTCCACATCGTCAGATGGAACCAGGTGCCAAGCTATCCATTTTTTGACTTGACTCGACCCCAAGCCGAGTCTGGTTGGTTCATTGAAAGCCTTACCAGTGAGTCTCCCTCGTCCTCTTCACAGGGAGAAGTCGTTGTGGCCCTTGACTCATGCAAACTTTAGGAAAGAAGAAAACTACCCGTGTCCATTTCTCCGTTTATCAGTGCGCCCGATCATTGTGAGGGAGATTTCCAAGAATAAGAGCTTGTGCCAGAAATTGAGCCTCGCTATGGGGACCCGACAGAGCCTAGGATGGAGTTGGCTGTTCAATCTAGAGGAGGGGACCTGGAGGTTTTAGAAGTTTCACCTACCACGACCCCTTTGGCTTCCTTATGAGCAGGGGAATGGCCAACGGTAGGGGAAACTTCTGCCATTTCAGTAGGTATTATAGGGTTGGGGGTGAGCTTGCAGAAGGGAACCCTCCTATGGAAGAGCCTTCCACTTGGGTTCTATCGAAATTCTTAGAGGTGGGAGCTTTTCTGGGTGTGTCCTTAAAGGGTATGGAAGAACTGACTAAGACCTACCTAATGGAGGTGGAGAGGAGAGCCTTGGAAGAGAGAGGAAGAAAGGGTAGAAAAACAGAGAGGGAACTTTTCAGACTTGTGCGGGGTCTAAATGATTCAGCAGGGACAGGGAACAGGGGTGGGAAGGTAGGAAGAAGGGGAAGGGAGTGAAGGAGGAAAGTGCCGGGGCCAGTTCTGTTCAGTTCTGCTTTTCTATTGTAAAATGTTAATAATGAAACTGTTATCTTGGAATATTAGAGGTTTAAGCTCAAGGCGTAGAAGTGTAGTGGCTGGCTCTCTTATAAGGGGGTGGAATCCTGATATTCTTTGCCTACAGGAAACAAAAATGGAAGCAATTGAGCCTCAAACAATAAGAAATGTTTGGGGGAAAAAGGATTGTAATTGGGAAGTATTGCCCAGCTGTTGGGACTGCAGGTGGTGTGGTGGTGATCTGGGATGTGAATAAAGTGGAGGCAAAAGGCAAGAAGGTGGGGCAGTTTTCGTTTCAGTATGGTTTCAGGTATTGGAGGATGGATGGGAGTTTGTTATTTCAGCTGTGTATGGCCCGAATGATAATAGTATAAGGGCAGCTTTCTGGGCAGAGCTCAGTGCAGTCAAAGAGGAATGGACAAACCTTGGGCGGTAGGGGGAGATTTTACCACTATCCGGTTTTCTCATGAGAAAAGAGGAAATGGAAGACCAGGTAGGGGCTTAAGAAGCTTTGCCGAGTTTATGGGAAGGTGGGAATTGGTGGACCTACCTCTCTTGGGAGCCAAGTATACTTGGACAAACATCCAGGAGGAGGCTACTTTAGTCAAGTTAGACCGGTTTGTGGTTTCTATGGAGTGGGTAGATAGGTTTCCCAACTTATCTCTCGAAGCCTTACCAAGGCCTTTATCTGACCATGCACCCATCTGTTTAGACTGTAGTGGCTTACAATCAAAGCCATCTCCCTTCAAATTTGAAAATGCATGGCTTGAAGAAGAGGGTTTTGTAGATCTTTTAAGAAGTTGGTGGGAAGAAATTCATGTGGTGAGCATAAAGCTAAAGACCTTGAAAGAGAGGATCAGAACTTGGAAAAAGGAGGCCCTCAACTTGGCAGATCAGAGAAAAAAGAGCTGTTTGGAGGTAATTGCAGAACTTGATAAGGCTGAGGAAGAAAGACATCTCTCTCAAGAGGAGAGGAGGAGCAAAACTGGACCTTGACAAACTCGCTTTCCAAGAGGAGATGAGATGGAGGCAACGTTTCAAATGGCTTTGGTTGAAGGAGGGAGATCAGAACACAAAGTTCTTTAATAAGATGGCTAGTGCAAGAAGACGAGAAAATGCCATTAAAAGTTTGTTTTTAAAAAGACATATCGTGAGCTACTATGAGAATTTGTATGAAGAAGTGTGGACAGTCAGACCCAAGCTTGATGATTGTTGTTTGATGGTTTGTCAGAAGATCAGGCGAGTGCTATAGAAAGGGAATTCACGGAAGAGGAAGTTTGGGGGGCAATCGTGGAAATGGAAGGGGACAAGTCGCCGGGGCTGGATGGCTTCACTATGGCCTTTTTTAAGCGGTGCTGGGGTTTCTTGAAGAGGGAGATTATGAAGGTTTTCAAGGAGTTTCACGAGTCAGCAGACCTTGAAAGAAGCTTAAACTCAACTTTCATCACCCTCATACCAAAAAAAAGAAAGGAGCAGAAGAGCTAAGGATTTTAGATCAATCAGTTTGATTGGGAGTGTGTATAAAAAAATAGCAAAGGTGTTGGCTAGGAGGCTTAAACCTATCATGGGAAGCATCATTGTGGACGCTCAAGGAGCCTTTGTGGAAGGAAGATTGATGGTAGATGGGGTTTTAGTTGCAAATGAGCTGATTGACTCAAGGCTCCGAAGCGGGAGGGCTGGGCTCTTATGTAAAGTGGACTTTGAAAAAGCTTACGATCATGTTAATTGTCATTTCCTAGATTACGTGTTGTGTAGAATGAATTTTGGCTCCAAGGGGAGGAATTGGATGAAGGTATGCCCCACCACCCCAACTTTCTTCTCTATATTAGTTAATGGTATGTCTTGTGGGAGATTCTTGAGTTCAAGAGGTTTAAGGCAAGGGGATCCCCTATCTCCTTTCCTGTTCATTTGTGTGACAGAAGCTCTCAACAGATTGGTGAATAGGGCTGTTTCAGGGGGTTTCATTGAGGGTTTCTTGGTTGGGGAGGGAGAGGTGAAGGTCCGTTACTTCAGTATGCTGATGTGCGAAGCCTCCCGGGAACAGCTTGATTTTGTAATGGCCCTCCTCAGGTGGTTCAAGATTGTATCAGGCTTGCGTGTCAACCTACATAAGAGTGAACTGGTTGCTGTGGGACAGGTGCAGGAGATTGAAAGGTGGGCGGAGGAGTGGGGTTACAAAGTGGGGAAGCTCCCACTGAAATATCTGGGAATGCCTCTAGGTGCAAAATGCATATCAAAGTCAGTTTGGGAGCCCATTTTCGAAAGAATAGACAAAAGGCTGGCTTTGTGGAAAGCAAAATATCTCTCATATGGTGGCAAACTCACTTTGCTGAAAAGTGTCCTATCCTCTCCCAACTCACTTGCTGTTGGCTTTTCTAATTCCAGCTGGCGTGGAAAATCTAATAGAAAAGAAAATGAGACAATTCTTGTGGGGAGGTTGGAGAGGCGAAAATAATAAATTCCACATCTCTATTATGAATTGAGAGATGTGTGGCTGCAATTCACGACGGGTAGAAAAAGTGAGTAGGAAATTTGGGCTCCCGAGCCTAGAGTCTCCAGTCCATGTTCAAATGTTGCAGACAACCGGGTCACCTTTTCTTGATGAGTATGGGCCCAGGTCCAGATAACCCAGTGTTCACAGTAACAACCCAGGACCAGTAACATCACGAGGTCCATATGGCTCTTTAACAACTTTTGGGGGATTTTGCTGATGTGTTCAAGGAACCCTAGGGGATACCACCATCTAGACAAAGTGATCACAGGATCCCCATTATCCTGGGAGATCCACCCACAAATGTTAGAAACCTGATACCTGAATTCATTGTTTGGGTCATTTGGTAAGCAACGACATGGTCTTAGCCGACCTAGAAATAGTGACTGCTATCAAGTCTTGCCCATAGCCCATGACTATTAAAAGCCTAAGATGATTCCTAGGCATGTCTCTAGGTGATTCACAAGAGGGTATAACAGATGATAGACCCATTAACCTAACTCTTGCACAAAGATTCCTTTGTCTGGAGTCTGGACTGACATGGCCCAGTCCACATTTGATCAATTGAAGCACTCTCTCTCCAGCCCTCCCCAAACTCGCTTTACCAGATTTTAATAAAACCTTTATTCTTTAGTTTGATGCTTGAGGGGGTGGCCTAAGTGCTGTTGTTATGCAAGAGGGCCAGCCAATAGCACACTTCAGCAAAGCCCTCAGTGGACAATCCTTATATAAATCCACATATGAAAGGGAATTAATGGCAATTTCTTCTTGCAGCCTAGAAATGGAGTTCCTACTAATTGGGTCATAAATTTATTATCCATACAGATCAACAAAGTCTAAAACATTTGCTTGAACAACAAGTCCATACAAATGCTCAACTTAAACGGGCCTACAAACTCGTGGGGTTTGATTTTGTGATTGAATATAAGTCGGGTACTTCCAACAGAGCAGCATATACCCTGTCACACATGCATAAAATCTCTTTTCTTTTTTTCCTCTCCCAGTTCTCCCTTATCTTCGCATGTCAGTTTATCTTTTGCAGTTTTCCCTGTTTTTTTCTAGAATGGTATTTGTTGCATTATCCAATGATTTTCTTTATGATCAGTTCTGCATAATCCAATAATAGGCTGTAAAAACAACATGCTAATTTCTTTTTCTTGTCAGGTATCTTGCAATGACCTCAGTTGACGAAGCCAATGGTTGGTACGGTGGAAACCTTTTAGGTGATCAAGATGAAAGCAGCGAAATATACAAGCATTATGCCGAGTTGTGTCAGGTAAACAATCCAATCTTTCATTTGGTGATACTATATAATTTTTTCTTGATTCATTTTGTTTTCATGGTGAATTTGTTTAATTTTACTTATTTTTGTTTACTAGAGTTTTTTCCTTTTAATTCAAAATTTTTACTCTCAATTGTCCTAAAGACTTGGTGACATTTTGATTACTATGGTAGTCTTCTCTTCATGTATTTATGACTTTAAAACTCTTATTTTTAAATTTGTACATGGGATTGGGCAAGCTAGCCAGGTTGTTTAAGCAAGAAGTCTAAAAGGCTGAGAAATCAACCATGTGGCAAATTAATTAGTTTGGAGCTGAAAAGCTTATAAACAGTCTCCCTTTTCGTGTCCCTTTGAATTTAAAATTTCTAGAGTCAACTCTCTCAAAGACATAGTTGTTGCATTTGTTTCCTTTTCCTTCACCACTAATACTCAGTTCTCATAATTTTTTTTTTTTGTTATCCTTTTCTAATTTCTCGGAACAGTTCTCATAGAAATCCATTAATGCACATTGTGTGCATATAATCTTTATGCATGGACTTTCTTACCTTATCTTTGTGGTCATTCATTTATTTGACTTTTTATTCTTCAGGGCCCTGCAATGGAACCCTTTGATCACGATCATGATAAAGAGAAATACTATGAGGATCTTCTTTCCATGAATGGCATAGATGGTGCAGATGATGCAGCCATTGAAGCAGAGATGGAAGCTGCTCTTAAAGAGTACAATCAAATTGGTGCAGACCTCGGAATTTTCCCGACCACATGTAAATACATTGCCGAAGATCCAAGCAGATTGACAAGATGGATCATTGGAGAAGAAAAAGTGCAAGGGAACACGACTTAATCGAATCCCTTACCATCTACTATTTATTTCCTTTTTTTTGTCCTAATTGAAATTTTCCTTGTGTACCATTATTTCAGTGTACACAGGGAAGAGGAAATTGGTCCACTGCGAACTGCTTTCTGTAAAAACGAACTGCTGTTTGAACTGTGTAATTTCTACTGTACAGTTGTATTTTAAAAATTACCCATTAACTATCTTATGGGGAAAATTTTCTTACGTTCGTTTTTCAACAAATTTTCTAATATTTCTAATTAAGGGGGTGTTTGGTACAGTGTTAACCATTTCTTTTTGGGTGGATCAATAAATTTGTGTAGGAGAGATTGTTCTACTTGAAACGTTTTTGAGTTGGTCAATACATATTGTTATTTCTATTTACAACTTTAAATTTGATGTTTTTCACAAATTCAGTTTTCTAACTGAAATACATTTATATAACGTGACAACGTTTTTTTTTCACAAATTTGTATTGATCAACCAAGCCCATAGGCCCATTGCATCTACCCACCCTGAGTTTGTTTTCGGTGAGTTTAATACAAGTCGGTTTAAATGATTGAACCATTGTAAAGTGAAAATGCATGAAAATATTTATATGGATTTTATCAATGTTGTCTTTATATCGATTATCAATGTAAAACTCTACCGTGAGTGGAATTGACATCGATTTTCAATATAAAATCACATTCAAAACAAACACTGCCAAATACAGATCAGGAGTGGAGTTTTACACCTATCTGTATTTACACCGAAAACAAACACAGCCTTGGGGAATTAATAAGTGAATTCTGGGGTGGAGTGGATTGTGAAAAGTCCTTAATTATAACCATTGAAATGCATTTAAAGAGGTTACCATTAGTGGTGGGTCCAAATTCTGTGTTGTACAGGTGGCAAGTGATAAGAGGACCCAAACCCATGTATGGATCTGCAGAAAACCCCTGGTTAAGATTCCAGAGCTTGCAATAGGGTTGTTCACAAAGAGAACCAAACTCATCAAACCAGCCCGACTTGACTCAACCTGGTTAGTGTTTTAAGTTTGTCGGTGAAATATAAAGGGTAAATTGCAAATTTTGGCCTAGTCTTACTTTGATAATCAAATTTCAAAATATGCCAATTCAATACCTGAACTTTTAAAACGTTCTAATTTAGTCCCAAATTAAATTTGGCTACAGGTTAAAGCCGACTGCAACATATATACATGACCACCATCCTTTTCAGTTCGATAAAACCTGTAATCGTACTAGTGGCACCATTAACTAGCCCATCCAAAAGAGCAATGTTGTTGATCAACATTACCCTTTAATCCAGTTCTCCAACAAGGAAAAGGAAAAGATGGATCCACTAAAGTGGGGAAAAAAGAAAAATCGAAGAGAATGATTTAATCCAATAAATTTATTGGCCAAAAAAGAACCATGAAAACCTGTAAGGGAAGTCATGCTTTCAAAAGCATTATCTGCACTTGAACCATGAAAACCATTCCAACTAAGATCGAGATGCTCAAGGTGGCTAAGATTAAACAACCAGAGACAGAAGAAATGTGGAATTAATATAGTTGGACAGTAAGAGATGTGAGATTGGCATGCAACAGAGGAGGCAGCAGGAGAAATTGACAAGCAGTTAAGTGTAATTCTAGAAGGGAATAAGCATATTAAATTATTAATTGCATGCAACCAGCCCCATTTACATGAGAAAGATAGTTGTCAGAGAGGTCTAGGAACCAGAGAGAAGATAGAGTAGAGAGCCAATCCAGTTTGTTAAAAGTTACTCTAAAGGATACCACTAAAATCGAGGTATTGCAAGTTTGAGAGGTTTCCAATAAGATGAGGTGGAACCATCCCTTGGAAATATGTTCAGGTTAAGATATGTCAACTATACGTTTCAGGGAGCCAAGGAAACTGGGGACACTAGTTCCTCTAAAGTCGTTGCCGCAGGTCCAAATAATTCAAATGTTTCAATTCAAGTAAGGAAGGATTATCTCATCAGTCACCATTCCTATAAATGCTTTTATAAAAGTAATTTTATAAAAGTATTTTTATAAAAGTACTTTCATAAAAGTATTTTTATAAAGGTATTTATATAAAAGTGTTTAAGTACTTCCATAAAAGTTCTTTTGTAACAATGTTTTCGTATAAAAGTATTTTTATAAAAGTGTTTTTGTAAAAATGCTTTTATAAAAGTGTTACTGTAAAAGTACTTTCATAAAAACACTTTGTGAAAGTACTTTTGTAAAAATATTTTCATAAAAGTGCTTTCATAAAAGTACTTTCATAAAAATGATTTTATGCCAGCTTAAGTTCTGATCAATTTAAATTTGGACAAGGATTTGACCTCATGATCAGATTATTAGAAATTTGGTTTAGGTCCAAATAATTAGTGAGTGTAATTGCATTATGATTGGGACTTGGGATGGAAAAAAAAGCAAAACATTATTAAACTCTGCATCTATTCCCTGACTTATTAGAAATTTACCGCCACAAATAGGTGGTTCTTATGGAGGATTATTGCAATCCAATACTTAGAAAATGAGAATTAGAAAGGAAAAGCAATTCATCAGTCAGCAAGACTCACCAGTCACCATCTATTGACTTTACTTATACCATGGGCTAGGGCAGTAAAGACAATGGGTATTGAAGAGAAGACCGGTGCATGTATGTATGACTAGCTATGACCTTACAATCCCTTCATTATAATGAAATAATTTATCTGATAACAGATATTATTAGTTCAGTTTATCAAACACTTTAATTGAAAATTTTCTTATTTTATTTCTTAGGTTCATACCATGGTTTTTAAAACCGACCTGGAGACCGAATTGGTCAGGAGTTTATTTATCGGGTTGAATGGTCCGACCATTCAAACTGAATGCTTGGCCCATTTTGACAAAAAAATATAAAAAATTTAAGAGATAAAAAACAGTTAAAACCATTCGAATGGTTAACCACCCGGTTCAGTAGTTTATTGACCAAAATCAACAGTTTTGGGGGAAAATCCGATTTTTGGAAGAAAACAGAGCTGGTCACTCCCGGTTTTTCTGGTCTGATTATCTGGTCCGGTCCGGTTTTGAAAATCATAATTCATACGCTCCAAACAAGCTTCTAATAGGTCATCTCTAAGTTTAATGCTTCCTTTGTTTTTGGGTATGGTTTTCGTGCAAAAGACTTCATTTTTACGAATGTTTTTTTTTTTTTTTGAGGTAATTAATTCTTCCCCCCTAAAATCAAAAGAAAAACAATAAGATTTAACTATTTACATGTAAGAAAAACAAATATATATAGTATAAGCACAGTGTCCTAAATTTGCAATTGGATACTCTACATGCAAGAAACTCTTTTCTGCAAGTGTTAGTAACACTTAAATCATCCCACTCACGCATCTACACCTCTAGGATACTCTAGTTTTAAATATTTTATAGATTATTTAAATATTTAAATAACTAGATATTTATCATAATTAGATTTTAAATAGTTAAAATAATGAAATTATGTAATAAATTAAAAAAATTCTTTAAAGCAGAAAAATAATTATAACATAATATTGAAATTAATAATAAAATTATGTAATAATAGTATAAATTATGATTTTATAGATAATTAAATTCAATAAATAATTAATATTTTAAAATTTAAATATTTTACATATTATTTAAGTATTTAAATAACTAAATATTTTAAATTACAATATTTAAAATAAATTAATTTTAAATAGTTAAAATAAAGAAATAATGTAATAAATTTAAAATAACCTGAAAAGTAGAAAAATAATTATAACATAATATTGAAATTAATAATAATTTAATATTTTTACATAATATTGTAAATAACTAATTTCACTTATATTAAGTAATGATTCAAGAAAATAACTTTCAAAAAAATTAATATTTATTAATAATAAATTTAAACTTTTAATATATATTTATTATATAATTATATATACTAATATTAATATTTATTGTATTTCAGTAATTATTTATTGTTTTTTGTGATAGATGCATTTTCAATAATTATGTATAAATTTACTTTTTTTTTATTTAATAGTAAACTTTCAATAATTATTGGAGATTAAACTACTATTATTGAAAATTTTAAATTTTGTTTATTGTACTTATTGTATTTTTTTTATAACTTATTGATTAATATTTATTAGAGATTAAACTGTTATTTGAGATTATAATATTTATTGACTAATTTAATATATTTTTAGTACTTATTGTATTTTTTATTATCAATATATTTTCAATAATTCTGTATTTTCACTATAAATTTTCAATAATTATTGGTGATTAAACTATTATTATTTATTAGAGATGAGACTATTAATTTTGTTGAAATTATGAGTTGGTTCGGTTTGGTCGTAGGTTGTTTGGCCAGCCAATTGACCTGGTCAGGTTGGGGAGTTGGTCAGCTAAAATCGACTGACCATTTGTGAAAACCGACCCACTTAGGTTGTATTGGTTTGGGTTGATTTTTTGGTTTGGTCAGTTGGTTCAAAAGATTTAAACTTAAAAAATAAATTTTAATTTTAAAAATTACAGTGCAATTATTAAAAACTAGATTTAAAAATTAAATTTATGATATAAAACATTTTAGACTAAGAAATATGGGAAATTTTTCACTTTTCCATATTAAAATTTATATTTAAAATATAAAATATTAATATATATCAACGGTCAGGTCATTCGATTTTTGTTAGTTTACAAATGGCGAAAGCGAAAACGATCCAACTTGGTCAAGTTAGGAAATTTTTAAACTAAACTCAACCTAAAAATACTAGAAAACCGACCAACTCAAGTCGAGTTAATCAGGTTGGTTAGTTTCACCAATTTGACAAAGAAACCTAACTGAAATTAATTATTGTTATTTTTGTATTATAAAAAAATTATTAAAAGTAGTATATAAAAATTGAATAATTATTAATTATTGAAAAAGTTTAAAATATAAAATAATTGCATACTCTTATGTGTTTCTATTAGGGTCATTTACTAGAACACACCTTATAGTCTTACATATTTACTTAAACCTACCTTATAGTTTTCATTTTACTAAAATATCCCATATATTTTTCAACTTATTTACTTAATCAACCTTTCATTAAGGAGTGTTTGTTTTTCCATTACTCCCATGATTTTTTATTCCAAAAATACCCTTAACACTTTTTGTACAAAAAACAAAATTGACCAAATATAGCCAATAGAGTGGTTGTTTGTGTCTTATTAGGGGCAAAAATGATATTTTATTTTTATTTTCTGTTGATTAAATTTATTTAAATGAACATTAGGGT